AATGTTTTTCTTTGACATATTTTCATATTATCAAAAACAAGTAAGAAATTTAAAATGTCTAAATTAGATGGAAAACTCCGTATGTACATATAGTCACTGCTCTTGTGATTGTGAAATTTTTACGGTGCATTTTAAATCTTCAAGATTAATGAAGTCATAATTAAAAATTATAACATTATTAATGATTTACAAGAAATCATACATATTTAAAACAAAGTGTTTTCGAATTTATACTATTAAGTAAACGTAAAGTTCGAGCACAAAGATCCTACTCTTGGTACTGGTTTTAGCTTTAATAACACAAAACCACAAAAAAAATTTTTGGGTATAAACTCAAACTAAAGTAATTGTTTCTTATAGATTTTTGATCACTGAATCAAAAATCTCCGAATTTGTGATCCGTTTTGCTTCATCACGTTAAGTTTTTTAGATAATCGAGAAAAATGATGAAAAATCTGTGAAAATTGAAAGAAACATTTGAGGAAAGAACAAAAGTAAATATAACATTAAAATGCGAACTGATTTAAATATATTTTGGTAAGTTAAATAAGGTGCAAGAAATAAAAAAAGTTTTACTTTAATGTTAGGTATTATAGTCTAACACGTCGTAAAACAAGTCGATGTAAAGTATCATTGTGCAACAAACAGCTAGGCGATCTGCGTGAGTTATACTAGGTTTTTTCAGAAATAAATTTTAATTGTTACTTTTGGAAGATAAGTGAGGCACAGAGTTGAACACGAAGCGAATCAGTACAAATTAAAAAAAAATATATTTGTTGCACAAAGGTACTTTACGTCGTTTTGTTTTACGACATGTTAAGCTATAATACCTAACATTAGAAAAGCAAAATTTTTTTTATTTCTTGCACCTTATTTAGTTCGCCAAAATAAATTTAAATCAGTTCTGCGATCGCATTTTAATGTAATATTTACTTTTGCTCTTTCCTCAAATATTTCTTTCAATTTTCAAAGATTTTTCATCATCTTTCTCAATTATCTAAAAAACTAAACGTGATGAAGCAAAACGGTTCACGAATTCGGATTCAGTGACCAAAAATCTATAAGAAACAATTACTCTGGTTTGAATTCATATCCAAAAATTTTTTTTGTAGTCCTGTGTAATAAATCGTAAATTTTGTATAATAAAAGAACTATAATTGATATTATTATTGTAACTTATATTTAAAATATTTTATTGAAAATAAATAATTTTAAAAAATATTTTAAAAAAACAATTGTTAGAAACTATCTCTTTATAAATTCTATCAGAGACTCTATAGATAAGAGAATCTATTTTTGATCTAATAGGATATTATCGAGTTAATTATAATTATGAGGGCTGGCGTAAACTTGTGCAATGCTTGAGAAAAAATTATACAGTACATGTTCTCAATCAAGCCCAAGTCATAGATGATGCGTTTCACTTTCTCATACATCGCCGACTCAGTTTAAATAGGTTTTGGAATATCGTAAGCTTTCTGTCACAAAATACGAATTACGTAGCATGGTATCCTATGATTAAAGCTTTTGAATACATGGCTTGTGCCTATTCATTTCATCATGCTACACCCATAACGGTAGGTAATGGCTAATTTCTATAAGAAAAGTTATACATTACAACATTCTACATAAAAAGAATTGAATAAATATGTATACGTGAACATATACACATACATCACATTCTTTCTAACAGTAGATTTATAAATTCAAATAATTTACCAATTTTAAGGACAATATGCGAAATATATTGAACAGAGTTTTGGAAATAATAGGATACGATGAAAAACCGAACGAAAGCGACCTTACTAAATGTTTAAGAGAGGAAGCAGCAAGATGGGCATGTATTATTGGTGTTGCTAAATGCAGAGAAACAGCCACTTTACATCTGATAAAATACCTTAAAAATCCTGTACAAGACAAGTAAGTTGTTTTAAAACCACGACATTTGTATAAATTAATCATGTTGCATTAATATACTAAACTTGAGAAACTATTTTATTTGATATACATAACATAAGCTACATTTGTATAAAACATTTTATTTCTGCTAACGCAGTCGGTTTACATGGAAGGAATGGAAATATTGTAAAGGTTTAATGTTAGCAAACTACACCCTTTGGAACCATATACGAGAAAAATGGACAACATCTGATAACAGAATATTAGATTACTTAACTTGCTGTAAAAATTCTTCAATTATTATCTTGTATTTAAAACAATCGTTAGGACTAACTATAGAGTATAAATATTTTATCCAAGAACGAGACAAACGTGTTGATATAGTTGTTCTTACTGTCGCGAAGCATGTAAGGGACTTGATAGTGTTTGAATTCATATTGAAATGTTTAAGAGACAGGCAAATCGTATTAAGTAAATATTGGTAATAATATTTTTCTTTTTATATATATTCTTGTATTTCTAAGTATGAGATATGCATATTAAATCCATTACTTTAATTTTAGGGAAGTTGATAGAATTGCAATATTAATTATCAGTATTACGCATGTGCATTCCGCACACCAATTACAAGAGGTACCTATATTTTTTAATTCAAGTAATACTTTCATTTCTTGACTTTTCAATATTGAGCTTATATGTGATTTGTTACATATGTAACATATCCGATCCAGTTACGCTTAAGGCAGCAAATCATACTCTCTTAAACTCGAAAGTAAAAAACTTTACATTAATTGATTTTGTCGAAATAATTTGTTTTAGGTAAATATCTTTGCAACAACTTATCTGAAAGAAAAGAGGCTAATTGATGCTGTTAAAGATAAAATTAGTAAACATAAATTGGAGCGCAACAGACAAATAGATAATTTCGGATCTCTCAGTCAACATGACGACGACTGAACTCTCACAACAAAGTAGAAGGAGTCTGTATTCAATCTTCCCGTAATTCGCATCAACTATGATTTTGTGGCTGTTGTACTAGCCAGTATTGGACCAACACTGGATGCCAATTCTGGCATTTAATACTAATGGAACGTTATTATTATTCCAACTGGCAAACTTTGCATCGTTAACAGTGATACATTAGTTAGAGTTATTATACATTATATAAGTTAATTAATCAGTACTAATTTTTACTGTTGTCTAGTATCACGCCAGTGCTTCTCAGTATTACAAATCCGGCTGTCAGCATCGAGCTAATACTGTGTTTGTGGTAAACTTGAAAACGGAAATAAATAGCCAAACAATTGAATTTTTGAAAGACAAAGCATATAACAATGTATATAGTATATAGACACAGCTATAGCAATGTTAAATTAGAATAAATAAAGAAAATAAAAATTATAAACTTTCTCAAAGAACAATTTTATGCTCACACAACAAAATGTACATTCACAAAAAACAACATTGAATAGAATGTCTTAGTTAAATATTAGTACAATTTTTAATAGGTTCAAGTGACGAACAACATTGATAAATGTAAATAAATAAAAAAGTGGAAATAAAATTGGCGCATTGGATGGTTCAAAGTAATTAATATTTATAAATCACGAGTGTACTTAATTATTGAACAAATTAGTTGCAATATATTATTGCGGAAAATAATATTTCTAATCTTTTCAGGCTATTTCTTTCGTTTGCCATTTTATATAATATTATATTTAATTTTAAATACTGCATAGAAATATGTAATTCATATTTGCTTTTAAGTAGGTATTTTAAAAAAAAGTAAAATTTTTACCAAAATTTTTTACATGTTAAACTTTTATGAATTAATTTATAAATAAAAATCTAATACTTGTATAAATATAAAAAATTATCAATTTAAACATGTAGAATATATGTAGCATTTAAAAATATTAAATAACTATAAATCAATATTTTAAAATACTGATTTTAAATAATAAAAAACATTTCAAGATGATTGAAAATATTTTACATATGTATATCACATATATAAAATATACCGGACCAACCATATTACCCTTAATAGAAGAATTCTGAGGTCATTTAGAGATGAACATTTTTATGGCAAAATGTCGAAACTGCAATAATATTTTAATGGAAAGCGTTTAAACCTTGATTAATCAGATTTACATAAATTTACGTGCGTAGGCACGTCGCATATTGATTTCTATATCATTACTATTTAAGAAGCTTCAGAAATCTGTAATTAACACAACACTGCTGGTCTGAAACTTTTGTATATTTTACATTATTTTGTACTCTATTTTCTTAAATAACAAAAAATAAAACAAGTTGATTTGACTTACCGGCATGATGCGCTGCAGCAAAGTTGTATACAAGTTGATCTGTAACAAAATACAATCAAATTATAACAGCGTCGAAATAATTATTTCAAAAATAATTATCACGCACATTAATCTTCTACTTACCTTTTTATACAAATATTCAATAAATTGTACTTTTATATTTAAGAATTCACTTTTTAAAAAGAGCAAAGTAAATTTTCATTATTGTCACTTTTTCATATGCTGATTGACTATTTCAATGCGCGCTGTGCGTTGTTATCGAGCGGATGTCATTGCGAATGTTACATACTTTGACAGTTCATATCTTAAGAAAAGTGGAAGTATGCTACATTTAGTATATTTAATTTATTACAGTGAGTAGTACAATAAATTAGTGTAACATAATATGTGTTTGTATTAATATTATACATAAAATATTAATTAACATTATGTTATAAAATAATTCATTGTAGTAAAATACTAACTCTTCTAGCGTTAAGTATTTTTTTTAATTTCTGTTGACATCAGTATTACAAGAATTAAATATAATATATCTTTTGTATGAAATATAAAACAATTTTTTATTTTTCTAGTAAATAATTAAAAATAATTTTGATTTATTTTTTATAAAATGGTGCAAATAGAATACACAAAAATTTTTTTTAATAAGTACGATATTTAAATATTTTAAATATGTTTAGATAATAATATGTACGTCTATACCATTATGTGTTTATTATATTAGTCCTTCTTTGCGCTACGCGCAAACTCGCCGTGTCGCTTGATCAACTGCCAATATCCATCTTATTGTTAGTATAAAGAGATTGCTCGAAACAGTAAGATCGTGATATGATCGGTTCAAAAAAATTAAATTCTGGCGATTCAAAAAAGTACTAGTTTGCAGTACTATTGTTACAAAGTGTAATTTGTTAACAATTTTCATAAATATAGGCGAGTATCGACAAACTAAATATTTCTAACCAACTGTGTAATATTTTAAACTATTAATTCGGTTCAATTCAAAATCAACATTAATTTTAATAATTAATTTTAACAATAATTCAAAATTAACAATAATTTCTTCAACAATAATAAAAATTTTAATGCTTTTAATTTTTTCCTATTTGCTTTGTACAAACAAAAAGTGAATTAAGATAAACATAATAATTAATTATTATATGCAAAATAATATTCCCAACGTAAAATTTATTTATTAAATATCTGTCGTACCTTACAAAAATCTTTAATTACATCAATTGCCTTACTTACATCGCATATATTACACATTTCGGCTATATACTATCCTATTCTCAAATATACAATTTCTCATTGGAACATAACACTCTCTTTCAAAGATTAACCTCGCCTTTGTTTCCTTCTTTATCTTGATATTCTCTACTGTTTTTTGCTTCTTCTTAAGCTTTCTGCCTTATTTTTCTCAACTCTTACCGTTATAATTTACCACAAAATTTTAAATAATATGTTTTATGCAATACGAGTATACATATTGTATGTATACAAGTATACTGACAAGAAAAGTGATAAAAGTCAAAATTTTTCAATTATTGTTTCATATGCGGATCGTATACTAAATACATTAGCCTTCAATCAGAAAAGTATGTGATAGATATTAAATTCAAATACTTTCCGCGTAAATCCTTTATGTTTAATACTGCCGTATATAATTAATTTTAAAATTATTCTTTAAGCATAGACATGTGAAATTGTTTTCTGTAAAATCAAATTTTAGATGATTTATAATTTGCGACGTCATTTGAGATAAAAACCAATTCATAATATTATTATTAAGAACGTTATTATTGATGCAAATCCTTCCTTTCTCTTTTCTGAACAATTTGTTTTCTTTACGTGTAACACTTTTATTTCAAGTGTGCGATAAATTAAACATATGCATAATAAAAAAACAGCACTCGTTAACTTTCGTAGTTAAAGAAGAACATACGTATCGCACCAAGCGTGATAAAAAATCCGTTAATGTCTATAATTTATTTCATTAAATTTGCTGATAAAACAATAAGCAAATCATCAATAAAATTGCTTTCATCGATTGTTAATATGGTAAATCACTTGCTCCAACATAATATATGCTGAAAAAGAATTTTAATCTTGCAACAGCCCATCTATGAAAGTAAATATACTACGATTAAAATGTAGCTTTATTTAAAAAAATGTATTTTACTTTCGTTATCAAATTCTTTTTTTATTCTCAATTTTTCAGTGTAACTTATCTCATATGTACTTTCATAAAAAGAGTATAATCAAATATAAGTAAGCGCGACATAATACTAGTAATATAAAATCATATATATATATACGTAATGGTTACAGTGAATCAACCATTAATTATCTAAATGGTCGAAAAACATCATTCTTAATAACATTAAAATTGGCGTTTCTAGTGATTATTGTGTTCCAATATTACAAATATTTTATACATTCTTACTTTTTTAGTTTTATATTTAAAAAAATTTCTTGGTAAATTATAATTTTCGTAAGAACCTATGAAACCTCTTGTAGTTAAAATTATGTTTTGTTAATACTAAAAATAATATATTTTCATGTTTTACGTATCTTTTATAATACCTTTTAGTATGAATAGTTACAATCGTTATTATATATGCTTTCTTTTGTGATAGAGAAGTAAAGTACTATGTGTCGCAAATATGTATGTATGTTTTCACACATAAAAATTTTTTGCAGATGCTGTAAATAGAACTAAGTATGGCATTAAGAGATATTTCATTAAATATCAGAATAATATTTATTGTGATAATATTTTTCTCTATTTCACAATTTATAAAAAGTGACACTGAAGTTAATCATCATTTGTTGAATTATACTGATCTAATACCACTGAAGTATGATGTCAACATAGAACTTGACTTTCGCAGAAATGTCTTGCACGGCGAATGCAATATTATCATCAATATTACACGTCCAATGATGAATATAAGTATACCTTCAGTAAATTTCGGTATACTTAAACTTGACTTGACAAACAATGATGGCAATAAAATAATACACGTACCGAGATATTCATTTATAGATGAAACGTACATTTACATTGACTTCACCAACTCGTCAGTGAATATTTTACTTCCTGGAACATATATTTTACACATGATATATCTCTACAACATATATGATGAAACTTTTCTCGTATACAAAGAAGACTTAGGTGAAAAAGTGTAAGTTAAAATAATTAATTCTCGGACAAAATATGATAAATATTTTATATAAAGCATTTTAAAATGAAACAGATTAACAGTAACTGGTGTCGAGGTAATAAGAGCCCAACAAATATTTCCATGTTGGGACGAACCAGCGTTCGAGAGCACCTTTATCATTTCTATTATGCATCATAAAAATTTTACAGCCCTATCGAATATGTTGATAAATACAGAAGAATATATAGATGAAAGTAACATGATGTGGACACATTTTGATAAGTCGCCTATCATGTCCATTAAACGTTTAACGATTGTGATAACCACATTTACTAATATTGTTTTGCAATTTCAATCTCGGTTTATCTATGCCACAATTTGGTGTAGAGAAAACATGATACGCTCTTTGGATTTTAGTCAACTTATCATTGAAGAGGTATTCCATTTTTTGAATAAAAAAAGTCAGATGATAATACCAAAAATAGATTACGTTGCAATTTCGAGGGCCCAACACGGTAACATTGAGACATGGGGACTTATTCTACACAGGTAGTATCCAGTTATTAGTTATTAAAGATAACATTTAAAATCAAATTTAAAAAACAAAGTTATGTATAATAATTTAGAACTAAAACATACAGTATTTTTATGTCAAGTAGCCATTTAATAACTATCGTATACATTACTTGCATTGCACCATGAAAAAGAATTCTTACTTTTATTACAAATAAGAAATTAAATACTTCTTTACATGAAGTCAGATTTTAATTTAGATTTTAATACGAAAAGTGTAGAAATTGTACGTATTATGTTGTATAAATAAAGTGAGTTGTTAATATTATTTACAGCATCAGAAATATAAAAAAATATCACGAACGTTCTTATTTTAATACTTATGCAGTCTTTTACTTGTGATGTTATTTATTTAAAAATGTGAAATACTTCTCCTTTTTTCTAAAATAATCTGAATGTGTGACCACGTTAGTGAAAAAACACACAATTATTAGAATTTTATTTTTTATAAACACATAAAAATATATTGTTTGTTAAATATATTTAAAACGCAAGATTGCTTAAGTGTAACTTTATTTCTCTTTGTTATAAAATTAAAAATTAATAATTTTTAAATTTTTAACCTAAAATTCTTTAATGTTTATTTAACTTTTTAAAAATAAATAATTAAACGAGTAAGCACTCGAGACCACTTAATTATGCAATAATTTGTACTATATCTACAATATACAAATTTATTAATCTGCATAATTATAGCAATATTTTGGGATGTAATTGTAATACTTGGAAACCATTTTTAGAGAAGAAGATATTACTTACAATGAAGCATTAGATTCCATTGCACGCAAAATAGAAGTGGCTAACTTACTAGCACGACAAGTAATATCTTTTTGGTGCGATTATTTGTCTTGGCCAATAGAAGGTTTTACTACATACTTTGCAGCGCATATCTTGGGAAAGGTTGTTTAATATTCTTATATACAGGGTGATTCAAAATAACCTGATGTCCTTGCAATGCTATAATCTTGAGCAAATTCTGAGACGATTTTTCTTTTCACAAAATTTTGTCCAAAGCTTAGTTTTCGAGTTATAATTGAAAATAGTTTGCTACTTACGAGTCCGATACAACAGACAGGCAGGGACGGGCAATGCGTCATGAGACGATAGTAAACATTTGACAGTCTCATTATACGTTGCACGTCCCTGCCTGCCCGTTGTACCGAACTCGTAAGTTGCTATCTATTTTCAATTATAACTCGAAAACTAAGATTCAGACAAAATTTTGTAAAAGGAAAAATTGTTTCAGAATTCGCTCAAGAATATGGCACTGCAAGGACATCAGGTTATTTTGAATCAACT